AGAAGATATCCTAAACACAGAACAAGGTGACCTTGAGAACTGGTGTTACAGCAATAGTGCTTAGTAATGATACAAAGCACTCAGGAAGTCCAGCAGACTTCAGAGAAATCACTGAAAAACAACAAATGGAAAAAGAGCTGATTTCATTAAGACAAGAACGCATTTCCACAGGCCACCAGTCTGATATGGCCAGGCAAAAGCAAGGCAGTCCTGGAATATCTAAAGCACTGTTTTTAGTAAGAGGGCATGGTAAAAAGAAATGTGGGAGGACCTGGAGTGCTCAGGGAAGATGTATTTAACAATAATGCAGATACAGAACTTACTAAAGAGAGAATATCTAAAAAATTAGATTGGAACAGGTATGACTGCTTTCTCTGAGTATGTCTGGTAGTCAAAGCAAAGTAAAAACAACGTAGATACAAGTAATAAAGCAAATATGAACTTATGTAAATTTTAAGCTCAAAACTTGGTAGTACTCAGGAGTTTAGTTAATTTTTAAATGTCTGCAGTGGTTATTTAGAGTGAGTATTTTACTAAAATGGTGCCATTCAAGTTAACAGCTGAATGTAAGTATTTCATCCTGATTACCCTGGTTGAAGGATATGTGGCTGATGCATGCACAGCAGTGCCAAGCCTAGACTGGCATAAAGGCTCCCTGCTTCACAATAAATTTCATTTATAAAAATATGGGTGAATATCTCACAGCTAAGACAACACAAGGATGGTGTTTTGAGCTGCTAGTGTCTGCACAGGAGTAATGCAAATTGATTTGTGTTCAGTGCAGAAATTACTTGGTCCTTTTAAATTGTTCTGGAAGACTGAGAATATTACCTTCATCAGCAAGGTTTCTGCACTTGACCAGCCTCCTCCAAATAATCAATTACCTTAGTAATCATATTCCTCCTTGTTAAAAGCATTGGCAGAATGAAAGCCAATATGGTTTTGGTTTGCCTCAGTAACTGGATCTTACTAGAAAGCCCTCATGAAAACCATTCTGAAGTCACTCAGCAGCTCCTGCAAACAACATCTCTGAGGAATGTTGACTCAGAAGTGATGTGAGATCACTCTGCTACTGAAGTGGAAGGTCCTGCCCTTCTTTGTACAAAAGAGAGATTTTATTTCAGCAGGAAGAGCAAGCTGATCTGACTGCACAAGGTCTCTGAATGCCTATTCAGCCTTAAAGAGGTGCTGGGAATGTGCCTTTGGGAAGGGCCCAGGCCACCTTAGTGGGCCCAACATGCCTTAGGAAGGAAATGGTATGCACTATCTCTGATACACTAACAACCTTTTAAGAATATTTTTATAATCTATTGGGTGAATGAACAAAGAGAAGCTTTTATTTCAAAACTATTTTTAAGCCAACGCTATGTAAAAGTAATTTAATTTTTCAGGACTATCTCTTTTAAGATGAATTTTTAAAGAACTTCAACCTTATTCTCTTTCTTGCGTAGCTGGGTGTGGATGCATATGGGTTCACAGACCCTGGACGATAAATACAAGAAATCTTTTCAGACTGGTAAAACACTTGAGGCTGGATGCTGTGAAATCTTGTTTTGTATCTGGAGTCCTAACAGTCCAACTGCAGGTTAGTCACCATTGCCTATGCAAGGCCATATGAAATTTGGCATGGAAAAACTCTCCTTTCATGAGTTTTTGAGTTTTGGGCTGTTGTCTTTGCTCCACACTCATCTCCCCAGGAAGCACAGCCAGTCTTCCCTGTTGTGAGCTCTCTTTTTCTTTCCCAGGGTATTCAGTTGGCTGTTTCAGAGAATTTTTTTTACTTGTAATAACTATTTTCTGTCTGAAGTCAATTGCATTTTAGGGAGCAACCTCACTTGTAGTTTAATTGTCAGTAATTGAGCAGACCTCTGACAATCTCAAAACATATTTTTCATGTTTTCAGGCCCATGATTCTACCTTTTTTCTTTTTTTTTGGAGGCTAGACTCTTCTTCTCCCCACACAGTGCATTGGTCACCAGACAGCTTGGTACAGGAATAATTGTTTTTAATTTTTTGCTACCTTGCATCTTTCAGCACAGTGGGTTAGATTTAATTTCCATTTGTAATCCCACTATGGAAAGATTAAAAATGTTTTAAACCAAAAATCTAAGTATCTTCTACTGCAGATTGAGCCATGATGATGCCAGGACTACTGTCGTCATCCAGCTTTTCTTGGTAATTCTGTCCTTTCCCTACCTGGCAGGACATGGTCACTGCACTGTTTGGAAATCATGGACATGAAAACACAGCTGGCATGAAGAGATTTTGTAGCACAGCTCTAGAAGTCACTTGACAAAACTCACTAATGAGAATTTCCAATTAAAATACCTGATTAGGAAGTAATTCAGCCCATTGATTTACATTTTCAGCTTGCTCAGTATGTGAATAACCGTCCAGAGTGGTCTGCTCAGAAAGCAGATGCCAGCTTGGGTCAAGTTTGTTTCTAGAGCAGCCTCTGAACAGAGGGGAGGCTTTTTTGCTGAAAATATCTGTGTGGGGATCTGGCTGCTGGTGTATTAATGCCCATCATCATCAGAGAGCAGGGAAGCAGCTCCTGGATTTAATGAAGACTTCAGCGCCATTAGCCCAAGGAAATATTGATTAAAGGAAAGCACCTTGGCTGGTGGAGCCTTATTTGCTCTGCCACGCATCAGTCACATGCTGCTGGCCTCAAGAACAGGAATAATTTTGAATTGCTTTACATCAGCCTGTTCTTCCCTCTCGCAGCCCTGCACAGTGGAGGTTATCTGAAGGGCATCTACGCTGAAATTGGCTGCAATAAAATTTTTAATACTGAAGTTGCATTAGACCACTCCAATCTCTATTCATGATAGTTACATAAACAAGTGCACAATATTTCAAATTACAAAAGCCATTAGCTTTCAAGAACTAACTGCCAATGCCATAAATTGAAAATCTGAGTATTTATTTGTTCAGGATAACATTGAAGAACAAGAAAAAAAAAATCACGTATTTTAGCAACATTTCTATTATAACCAAAGACTCAGAATATTCCTCTTTTCTGTCAAAAACCTCCCATTATTTTATTTCCTGAAGTCATCCAGTCTTTACAAATATAGCATTATTTCAAAGAAGACGGAGCAAACTTGCTGGCTGCCCCTTTGTGGGGAGGTCACAGAGCACCAAATACAGGGAAGAAAGAACACTACAAATATCTTCCATTTCTAGTCTCCAGATTTCTTCTTTAACCACTACAAATACTCTTGGAAAGTTCTGCTTATTTGATCTTATTTTTTTCCCTAGAAACAGGTGATTTTTACTGGCTCAAACTGGCAAACAGCATCACCTACATGAATTTCTCCACCTGTAAAAATAAAAAGGTATGAAAAAAATCTCTTTAAGAGAAATGTATAAATTTCTGGAATGCTTACGTTGTAGCTCATTTTCAAATTACAATTAATGAATTAATAATAATTAAGCAATGAAGCCCTATCTACTCAATTGTTTACTTAAAGACCTTTCACCCTGAGTAGGAGACATCCCCTTGCATTTTGTGCTCCTTGACCTGGGGATGTGCCAGGGAGGTGAAAAGTCGTGTGTTTGACAGATGGAAAGGAACAAATAACACGAACAAAGCATCAAAAACACACCCCAAACCCTGATCAAACCTGTTTGAGATTGTTCCTTTTCCTTTTATTGGCTGCCTAGTGTCTAAACCCACCTGATGGAGCCAGTAACAAGCATAACAACCACATGAACTGTGAAATAATACTGGGCAATAGAAATACATCACTACCACCTTTGCAAAACTTATTCAACCAAAAACATACCTGAATAAAAAAATTGAAAAAAAAATTCTTCCATTACACCCATTTTAATACAAATCTCAAGCTAATTTGGGGATAATTAATTTATCTGAGATAACTCCATAAAATGGAAACAGAATATTTCTCCAGCGTAAAGAGACTATAATAATTTTATAGACTAAATCACGTGAACAGTAATATCAGTTAGAAAACGTGGAAATAGTTCATAGGTACTGTGGTTTCTTTCAACAAAAATGTTCTTCAAATACCTGGGTACTAGTACATCCCAAAAAACTGAAACGTGCTCTGCTCCAAGTGAGGGCTGTGGAAATGGAATCCTGCTATTGCAAACATTTCATTACTAGCTCCTCTAGATGAGAGCTTCTCATTTCCCAAAGAAAATATTTTTTTTTCTAAATGTCAACCTGCAAATTTACCTTTAAGTACAACAGCCAAACTGATTTTTTCCTTCTCAATCATTATGTTTAAAAATTACAATTATGAAGGTCAAGTTAGTCCTGAATGACACCTGCATAACGTGGTGACATCCAATTTGTTTGTCTGTAATCCAGCCCTCATTTCCATCTTAATTCCTAATAATTAGTGGCATATATACCTTCCCTGTACATTGTCAGCTGAGATTTTCTCCATTCCAGACAGGGTATAGATCCTTACAACCTTTTTAGAAAATCAAATTGATTCCTACCAGAATGTCTCAGTATCAAGACAGGAATCAGCTTTAAAGATGCTTTTCACTCCCACTGAGAGTGCCTTGGCTCCTGCATGCCACAAAAGCCAATACTGAACCTTGAACAAGATAACCTGAGCAACTCCAGCTCACATGGCAGAAACACCTTGCCATGGTGGCTTCAAAAATGCTCTTTTAAGGAATAGTAGAACAATGGCAAAACAGCACCATTTTCTTTAACCTTCCAAAATATTCTCATAAGATCACTTATTAGACTCACAAGATAACTTATTGGAGTAGAAATTTGTCTTCTTTTTGTCTGGTCTGCTCTTTGTTCTGCCTAGAGAAGAAGCAAGGCAAATGCAAGCAAACATGGGATTATCATCCACTTTGTTAGCAGGCTTGGAATGAGGCAGAAAAAACAGCAGCAGTTTTCCACACCAGTGCAACAAGCACCCTCCATTCCTTACTGCGAGGCAGAGGGAAAACACCAAAGAAAAGATACTTAAATAAAGAATTAAAATAGAAAAGCTGTTCAACCTTACCTTGCCAGCCTGGTTTGCACACAGGTTTGACATTAACTCGTACCAAGACATCTTCTGTCGCACGCTTCTGCCCACAGTCAAAAGCTGTGACCATTATCTCATACTGGTGCTGCTTATCATAGCTCAGCTTCTCCGTGTTCCTGATGTTACCTAGAGGTTCAACACAAGAAAACATTCAGAGATTCATTCTTGGCTGAGCATCTCCAGACTGCAGCATTTGGGTCCTGGTTCATCAAGTGCTTTGTGACTTTGAGCTCTTTTGTGACTGTGTTCACAGGGGTCTCAGGCTGAGGGAAGAGATGAGAATGTTGACTCCATGTTTCAGAAGGCTTGATTTATTATTTTATGATATATATTATATTAAAACTATACTAAAAGAATAGAGGAAAGGATTTCATCAGAAGGTTAGCTAAGAATAGAATGGAATGAATAACAAAGGCTTGTGTCTTGGACAGAGAGTCTGAGCCAGCTGACTGTGATTGGCCATTAATTAGAAACAACGAACATGGGCTAATTAAAATCCACCTGTTGCATTCCACAGCAGCAGATAATCAATATTTACATTTTGTTCCTGAGGCCTCCCAACTTCTCAGGAGGAAAAATCCTAAGGAAAGGATTTTCCATAAAATATGTCTACAACACTCTCTGAAGCACACCGGACATGCAGAGTGGGACATTCTGGGAATGGGAAGGATTTTCTTTCAATCCAGCAGAGAAATAAGATACTTGTAGAAAAATATAAGATGGGAGTGATATAATGTGGGCATGGCTCTATCAAAAAATATCTGCTCAACAACACTTTTTAAAGTAAGACAATAAAAGTAATTGGCAGTTACATCTTGACCCATGAGCTATTAGTGCACTCTCCTTTTCCACATTTGCCATAATACCTGGCTTTAACAGCCAGGTCCTGAGATCCACTACTGAACCCAAGTATCTTCCTGTTTTCTCAGAAGCTATTACCCTGTAGGTGAGAGACATTTTAAAAATAGGAAAAGCCCTAGAATCACCTCCTGCATTACAGTGTTTAGCGGTATTTGATAGGGCAGCACAGAGTTATCACATGCAAAATAAAACCCAGCAACAACAGGGTTTATCTGCTGAGCCTGACACACATAAAAAAGTAACAAATTGCCTGCTTTGGGAACAAAGACATCAGAACTTTCAGAAGGAAAGATCTTTCTCTGAATAGTTCCTGGAGGACTGGGAGAGCACAATGCAAAATATATGGGTTTTCTATTAACAAGTTCAGTGTTTTAATCCTGTCCATTTCCACTGAAATTTACTTTCTGCACAAGTTGAAACTTCATCCTGTTTAATTAATTTCATGCTTTTGCTCAGGGCTGTTTGTTTTACTATCTCTTTGAATGAGGATTTTTGTTCCAGAATTCAAAGAACAAACTTTGCCGCAGTGCTACACGTAACATCTGCTTGCAGGCAAGTATCAGCAAAATCCAATTGTTGGTTCTAAATTTGAAATGGGCAGCCCCCCATATCCTGGAATTTAGTCAAATGCAGTGAACCGGTCCATACAGGTGCTGGGCAAAGTCTCTTTTGTTAGGCACAAAACGTTAGGTTTGGTTTGAGCATTTCAGTTTCATTTTCTTTTTTCTTTTCACACAAGTGGATGAAAGACAAGAGAAGGCAGAAAAATGCAGCTTCTTAAAAGAAGTCTTTCACTAAAGCTCCATTAATTTGACAGGTGAAGACTTTTAGCCGCTGTCTCTCTGCTTCACACTCCTTATCTTGTCAGAGCCCACCACTCTACTTTTTGCTACAACTACATTAAAGCCAGCTCTAGGAGTTTATTGAAATGGATGCAAAACTTTCCAGGTCAGGCCTGAAGAAAGGCTGTTGTTTGCATTTATCCCCACCTCCAGGTCCAAAACCTGTAGTTTAAATAGACCCTTGCATCTGCAGTTATAAGTCAGGCCCAATACCCCATTTACTGCTGGCTCTGAGTCTCTCCAGCTCTCTTTGTGGGCAGGGCACACAGGAGGACAAACCCTTCTCATATTTAAATGTCTTAAAAGGAGAAATGGAATTGTGAGCTGCTGAAGGCTGGTTTGGATCCAGGGCAGTGTCCTGCAGCCTCGGGGGGTCTCTCTCTGGGGTACCTCATGTTGCCAGGCGTTTTCAGACCTGCCATGGGCACAGCTCTTTGCTCCCCACAAGAACTGCAACAACCACATCAACTCTGTCAGAGCTCAGCGCATCCCTCTGGGTGCCCAGAGCTGCCAGGACCCTGCCAGGGGGCTCAGGGACCCTGGCACACAGCCCAGAACACCTGTGGGGTTGATTATGACCCGTGGAGCAAATCACCAGCTTTGTATGAAGACCTGAAAGCCACAGAAGTTTAAGTAGTGTAACAATAAAATTATCACTAGGTGGAAAGGTAGATTTTGGGGACAAGATGGAGGGACTTGGGCATGTCCAGCCTTTCTTCTTCTTCTCTACCTCCATCTTCTGCTGTTGGCACTTTGGGATTGGTTTAGAGTAGAAGCTCACTGTCTAACATAGGTGATAGGTATTGGAAAGTAATTGAAAAAATGTTATCCGTAGTTTGTAGTATAAAGAGATAACACCACCCTGGGGGCAGGCAGAGTGCCTCTGTCTGTCCTGCTGAGCGACCTCGGCTGGACAGGAGAAAAATTTTTTATAGATAAGATCCAATAAACAACTCTGAGACCGAGAACTGAAGAACTCCAACTCATTCTTGGAATGTGGGGGCTGAAACAGAGACTGTTCACGTGTCTTGGGGCTGCAATAAACTGCAGAACTCCCAAGAAACTACTTCATTGGGTTTTGAGTTAGTGATTGACAAAACAATCTAATCGCCCATTTTACTATCTTGAGTTGCCTAATTAGTGGCTGCCTAAGAGGATTTAATGAAAAACTGCCACTGTATGTATGTACTTAATTACTGACTTTATATCTGCTCAGTTCTTCTGTCCCTTCTCCATTATATTATTTCATACATGAATCTTTATATTTCCCTATTTGGTTCTTCTTGGTATTATTTTAGTCTGTGATCAGCAAAGATAATTCTCAAGAAACCAAAACTGTCCAACTGTCCTGCAGGATTTATAAATCATTACAATATCTTTACATTTCATTAAATCTATCTTCCAAGATCTGTATTTCATTATGGCCATTTCAGATTTGGACTACAAAGATTCTGACTCTTAGGTGTTGTTCTGGAAGGTCATTTGGATGACTTGGAGATGTTACCCAATAGTTTATTGATCTCCTAATATTGTCTTTTCTTATCTCTGATGCTTTATGATTCTTTAGGTTTTTATAACTTAATCAATACAATTAAAAAGCTGCCACAGAAGGAAAGAACTATAAACACAGACTAAGTAAAGTTTTAGAGATGATAGTCTGAAAGTTTCTGTTTACCTCTCACCCACAGACAAAAAGGTAATTAATAACATTAAAAAGAGAAAATTTTAATGGAGAAGTAAGTACACTTCTGCACCATTCAAAATTAGGCCATACATTTTTTGTTCAGTTTTCCTAAATATCAGCCTTTCCCTGGAAATACCCAGAGCTAAAACCAGCTATTTTCAAACAACAAAAAGCAGATCAGTGACTAGAGGAATATAAAAAGACCTTCCTGAGGACACTGGAGGACATTTACACCTCTGTTTCTTCAAGGTCAGTTTTGGGTATAGATGGATATAAACATTCCTCTTTTATGGCTCCTCCACCTTACTTTGGGGCAGACACAAGAATGGGGAAAAAACTTGACTGATTTAGTATGGCAATTCCCTCCTAAATTCCACAGTTACTAAATCATTTGATCTTCCTGTCAAAAAGGTTCATTTTTAAATGATAATGGAAAAAAATCTGTCATTTAATAAATACATAAATATCAAATGCAGATGCTCAGCTATAAAGTTTGGCTTTACTTTCCTGGCCATATGAAGTGTGCACAGCTCCTGCTGCAGCCCTGGGTGCTGTAAAGGGGGATTTTGTGAGGTCCTGTTCTGTCCAGGATTTGTAACCTGATAAAATCTGTATGGACTGGACAGGTCCCTGTCTCATCTTCACACTGAACAGCTGGAACAAGCATTTGTGAAGTGCTCCCCAGAGCCAGGTGGCAAATAAGAATCATCCCCATTTTTGAGGTGAGACTAGGTCAGAGCTGTGACAGAATTTGTATTTATACCTGCGTTCCCAGATCGTCTGACCATAATCCCTAACAAATAAAGCACAAGATACGTGAATAAAAATGGCTTTTGCTGGCATTCTGACAGAGCTGTGCATTGTGGTTTAATTTTTCTGTCACCTGAAAAAAGCCTACACAATATTGCTGCAGTAACTGACTTGATTTGCATTCTCTGCTAAGGATAAAATGAGATTAATCTGCATGCAATACTACTTTAAAACATATTATGCCTTACACCTTTAATCACAGTTCTTTGCACAGCAAAGCACAGATTTGTCCCCTGCCTTTACATGACTGTATTTTATGACTCAGAGTTCACTGCCCTCTGAGCTGGGCTCATCATACACAAGACTGCATTTTACTAGTGCTATAGTTTCAGAACTCAAAGGAATTTCATCCACAAGGAAATCACATACCAAGGGCCGGAGTTCCCAAAGATAACTGAGTAGTTTTATATTACCTTCCCAAAGTAGGAAATACCCTCAGGCTGATGCTGCTTCCTGTGCCCTCTCACTCCTGCCTCCCCTGGAGTGGGGATGGGGCAGCCTGTGCACCAACACCTGAGCCTGCAGGGCTCTCTCTGCCTTTCTGCAAACCTTCCCCAATGAGCAATTCAATTTTTCAAGCACAAAAAACTGCTCCATGCATGGATCTAGGGACAAGAAGTAAGTTTTACCTAACAAGACACTGGCCTGCCAAAAGAAAAAGAGCTGATCATAGAGCTCCATCTTTTTACAGACCTATGTTCAGGGTTAGTTTCATACGTTGGTCATGAAAAAGTCCACTATCTGGGGCAGACAATGGCATGTTTTCCTCACAACTCACCCCCACCTCCATCTTTTGGGGCCCCTTGCAACATTTAGATTTGATTTTAAGGTATTTACTTATTCTCTTTCTGAGCAATGAAGCTCCACATGTAGGTGACTGAAAAGCATAAAAAAATCATAACCTGCAGGAGACACAAGAACCTAGATTTGTATTTCACAATGGCTAAAAAAACCCCTGTTAACAAAATCCTAATTAGCACAGTATTACCAGACAGACCCAGGCATCTCATACATCTATTTTAACCACCTGACCAGGAACATAAATGGGCATGTTTCCAAAGAATTTGCACCACAGAAAGTTTCTATCAGCTGCCATACAGAGACATTCTCAGCACTGAAATGTGGTGGAACTAAGCAACATAATTTTGTCAAAAAATAAAAGTATAATAATCTATTCTGACTTTGTTTCTAATCCCAGTGGGTTTAAGCAATTACCATTATCTTAAAAAATTGCAAATTAGACTGCAATTACTGTTGGTTGTGGCAGCACTGTTCTTTTCGTGAACAAATAGATCAAAAATATTAATTGAACTCATGACCAAGAAACTGCAAGTATTACAACCTTATACCAATTAATCACTGCAGGCTTTAAAGCCACATTTAAATCAATGATTTTCTCATTGCCTTTGCTGAAAAGCAGGTCCCAGGCACATGAGGACAAAGATGTAACCAAGGACTCCTGGCATTTCCCATGCTTTTGATCATATCTGTGACTGTAAAAAGCCACAAGCACTCCTGAAGCAGCAGCTCTGTGTGATAGGAGCTGAAAAGGCGTGAGTAATAGAAACGACTACTGTGTATCACACCAATTTCAGGGTATTCTCTGTCCCTTATATCTGGCACAAACCCCACAGGAAATTTTGAGACAACGTGTGGCTTCCCCAAGTATCCACCCTTCACACAGACATGGAGCCTTGGAAAAAACTGGATTCAGAGACATACAGAACTTTCTTTTATGACAACAAGGGAAATCACACAGTTAGAAAAAAAGCCATGGAGAGGAAAATCTTCCAGGGAATTGCTTCCAAATATGCCCTTCCAAGTGCCCAGTTGCTGTAAAAAATCCTTTGTGCAGTTCTATGGGTTCTCAAGAATCCTCAGGGCTACTGTGCCAGCTGCCCTCATTTACTCAAACACAAACATATTCCTCATGATTGCACTTCCCATACCATACACTTGCTTCCCAGCGTGTGATACCGAGATGGATTTTTCCCCAAAGTCATTAAAATTTATTGATGTAACAGGTTATTATCTTCTGATGCTCATCTGTGCATTGTGCACTGAACAAATATAGATGAATAATTTTTGAACAGGGTTAAGAGTTTTTATAAAACATCCCAACATAAAAATGACTGCTCAGAGAAAACAGTAGCTCCATGCATGCATTCAATTTACAGTTTGGCCAAAAGTCAGATTTAACTTCCAAACTGTACCCTCCTCCTCCAAACATGGATTAAATGTTTCTGCTAGGAGAGATAAATCAGAGCACTGCTGGGTATGCACACAGGGTGTTTCTTCAGGAGAAACTATTTTGTATAATCTGAAGGAAGCAGAGAATGGGAGAAAGGACCTTCCACACACTTTTCATGCAATTCCATCACCATTCCCAAAATCAGTTCCATGTTCTTTGCTGGTCCAGGAAGGTGACACACAAGGCCACTAAGATTAAAAACTGCTGCATATGGAAAACTTAATATGGTTTATTATTTTCACTAAAATAGAAAATATATACCTTTGAAAAACAACTAAAACAAACCAACAAAAACTTAAGAAATGGTACTTATGCTCCAAAAACATTTTCTTCCATTCTGCAGTGTGATGGTGTTCACAGGGGTTCTTGGATGAGGGAAGAGGATCTGACTCCATGTTTCAGAAGGCTTGATTTATTATTTTTTGATATATATTACATTAAAACGATACTAAAAGAATAGAAGAAAGGATTTCATCAGAAGGCTGGCTAAGAATAGAATAGCAAAAAATGATAACAAAGGTTTGTGGCTTGAGCTCTGTGTCCAAGCCAGCTGACTGTGATTGACCATTAATTAGAAACATCCAACATGGGCCAATCCCAGATGCACCTGTTGCATTCCACAGCAGCAGATAACCATTGTTTACATTTTGTTCCTGAGGCCTGTCAGCTTCTCAGGAGGAAAAATCCTAAGGAAAGGATTTTTCATAAAAGATGTCTGCGACACTGCAGAATAATGGATCCACCTCAGAAGCACCACAGCTGGGCAGGTCTGTGGACCCATGATCCTAAAAGCTTTAACAATCAATAAACATATGCAGAATATTGCCATATTCGGGTTCTGATTCAGGAAATTCAGGGGAATAGGACTGGCTGTAACCCAGTAAATAACCCCTGCATTGGGGAACACATGCTGCCTTGGGGAATACCATCACTTGGATGGGAAACAGGATCTGAGACAATTAGGAGAATGGACCAGGTGACCAAGAACCATGTTGCTCACCTAAACCTGGTGGTTTAATTTCCACAGGAGATTACTGCATGGCTGTACACAAAAGGGATGGAATCGCTCAGTGTGAGGATTCCTCTGCCCTCAGAGGTTAGAACAGGATTTCTCTCTGGAGCTCCCTCTGCAGCCAGGTGACCAGCTCGTGCCCCCAGCACTGCCAGCCCTGCAGACAGCCCTGCTGGGGCCACACTCACCGTTCCTGTCGATGGCAAAGGGAACATCTGTGGTGACAATCTCGTAGTTGCAGATCTGGCTGTACTGGGGGGAGCAGTCCTCATCTGTGGCTTCCACCTGCAGGATGCTGTCGTAGATCTTCCCCTCTGTCACTGAGGCCTTGTACATGCTCTCCTTGAAGGCTGGGGAGAACTCGTTGACATCCTTCACCTGGATATGGACTACTGCCCTAAAACAGGCACAGAAAATATCAAAGTTAATTTATTGTGGCACCTCACTAACAGTTTATTTTCAAAACACTTGAAAAGACTAACAAAACATATCTAGAAAACTATGTAAACCCCTACTAAAATGAGATATTAGAATTTTTATGTTTCATTTGCCCAATTTAGTATCTTTAGTATCTTACTTTTTACTAGGTAAAAGTCCATTGCCATGGCTTGTCGGGAGAGAGTTTTATGGTGTTCGCTATTAAAATCTGCCCCCAAAATGAACCCCAGCAGAAAGCCGATGATATCATTACACAGTAAAATAAGACACAGTAGTCTTCTGTACCCACTACCTAAAAATGAGCAGTTTACAGGCATTCTTCCATATTAAGTAAGGCTCTCACCTTCTGCTGGTGGCAATTATCTAATCCTTCAAGCAGTCACAACACTGCACATGTATTTAGTGAGTAAACCCCAAAGGCCTTGCTTTGGAAGGCTTTGCTTTCTGGTTTGATAGGCAGGGTGACAGAGGGACACAAAAGGGATGTTCTGGAGCAACAGCAGAGCTGCAATAAAGGCTGGGACCCCAGGCAGCGTGGCTGAGCATGAGCTGCTAGACAAAATCAGTGGGCCAGACTTCATTTAGTCAAGATTAGACCAACATTTTCCACAACTGGATTTCTACCAGATTGTTACTGACGTGAGAGGGGGAAACATAATAAAAATTTGATATTGTGAATCAAAACCTGTTTCTGTGATTTGATGGTTATCTGCTATTGCAGGCTTCCTCCTAACTCTGTATTCTTTTTAAATAAATATCCTGAAAACTTCAGCTTGCATTACAGACCTAATTAAAATTTTAATTGTCATATGTCCTGGATGAGCAAAAGGAAGAATGATTACTATAAATCATTTATTATAAAGGCTCTCAGCAAAAGGAACTATTTGTACAGCACTTATACATCTACGTGAGTTAAATCCATCTTCAATGACAAATGAGCTGGAGCTTCATTTCATGAATTCAAAGGGGAAAAAAGGCACTGTGCCACCTAAGCTTATTCAGGGAATTGGCTCCACAGTAAAAAGTACCACCTACTGACCTTCAATACACTCCACTTCAGAGGACTTCACTTTCTCTGAGACTTGTTGGACAAAAGCTGAGGTCAGACGCCATTCAAATGTGACACTGCTCAGCTTATGGCATAGATATACTAAAAAAAGGGAATGATTCCTCTTTTCTTACCATTTGAAATGAGATGAACAGAGAGAAAACCTATTTAAAAATTGCAAATATCAATTGAAAGCCAGTTTCTATGACCTGGATGTATTCAAAACGAAAGCACAAACGGAAGATATAAACCAGAACTGAGATGCATTTATCCACTTGAACGGGGATCCTGTGCAAAGCTTTAACTGAACCAAATAAAAAGAAATATATTTTCTACTAGGAAAAAGGAATGCAAAAATGGATAGAATATTGCAACTGTGATTTATCTTTATTTGCCTTCTACCTGAAATAACATAGACTGTAGAGCAAATGTATGCCAAAGCAAAAAAAAAAAAATATTTCTTCTCATTTTCACTCACTTGTGAGATTTCTTCCAGTTGGTTCCACCTGGTCCTGATCCACAGTCGTAGGCCTGGATGATGAATGTGTATTCCTTCTGCAGCTCACAGTCAATGGGACTCCTTGCTCGGAGCCGACCTTCTCCAGATGTCTTGTTCAGCACAATGGCCTCAAAGGGCATCTCTTGCCCGTGGATTTTAAAAGCACAAATTTCACCTGTGAGGAACAGCACAAAACAATCATAACTGGGGGAGAAGGGGGGTGGGTCTAAGTCTTATGCACTGCAGAGACACCTGCAAAGTTCATTTGTATTTCACCTGCTTTTCCAGAGGAGGGAAACACAGACTCAGGTCACTGTGTATCCAAAAGGGCCACTAAGCAGGTGTTGTGCAGGGGGATGATGCTCTGAGTGCAGCTCTAGGCACACCCCTCCCTCTTCCTCTGTCACTACTAAATGGTTCCTGAAAGCCCCAGAGGCCATTCCATATGGTATCAATAGTGAGCTAAATTACATTTGAGCTAAATTAGGAGACTGTATTTATTTAAAGGAAATAACAAAAGGAAAAATAGATAATACTCCAGAGGTGGTCCTTTTATAACTGCTGTCATTCCTTGAGCCACTTGAGCTGCCAAGGTGGTAGCTGTGCAGATTCTTGCAGTTTAGTTTGCCAACAGTGGAAAAACAAATGGTGCAGAACATGGGCACATTCAAAACACATCCTGCTTTATTTACAGACATACATCAGCTTTGGATCAGAAGCAGCTGAAGGCACACCAAAAAGTGTCCCTTTTGGACATCTCAGTTACACACCCACATTCCCACTCTCATACATGAGTGCCTTCCTGGCAGCAGCTCACTCTGCCTCCAAACTGTTTCCTGATCCAATAGATCCATAGCACCTCTCAGATGAGCACTAGAGAACATAACAGATGATATAGCAAGGACTAATTAAATTGATTTGCTCACAAAAGACAGCATAAAGGATATTGTGGGAATATGAGACTGGAAAGGGAAAAAAGACCCAATTTCTGGTGTTCCTTTTTTTATCCTTCATAATGATAGCAAGGATATGCACACTGAGCTAATTTTATTTCATTTTTAGTTCAGTCTCTATATCCTGCTCCTATGCAAGATAATGCAGAATCCAACTTTAAAAATGAAATATTTATATAAAGATCAATATGACTTAAATATTTTTATGACACATTAAACACATGCTCTTTTATGAGCAAGTCAGTCTTAGGACATGCATTATAGATTCAAAGCCATCTCCCACTCACATAATCCTTTTCCATTTATTTCCAATTTACAGTTGCAGCCTTTTGAAAATCTCCTTGCCAATCATATCTCAGCCAAGTGCCAAATTCTAAATTAACTCTGAATCTCTGACCTCTAATTCAGGCTAGGTTCCTGTTGCTCTATTACAATATATTGTTTATTTTTGCAAAAGAGAACAGACGGTGACTTTTACAAAGTGCTGAAGTTCATAATTCCTATTATGTGTGAAAAATAGAAAATGGCAAGGGCGTGTGTGCAGGGAGGGTGGGGATTAGGTATGGAGGTATAAACACAGAATTTTAGAATATTTCCTCAACTATCATCACACTGGCTTCCCTTTATGACCACAGGAGCTGAAGCTTTGCTCAGCTACATCCACTGACATTTAGGCAGACGAATCCCACACTTCACAATTGCAATCAGTCCTGTGAATGCCTTTAAAGGACCAGCACACAGTTGTTTTGGTAATTCTGCTTACACATTTCCCTGCTGTCCCCTCTCCCTCCAGGGGTGTGAAAGGGCTGTGGAGTTTCCCAGGACAAAGCTGTGCTCTTTTCCAGGCTCTCTGCTCTTCACTCTCAGTGAGCTCAAATATTTGGGCTACAGAAGAAGCAATGGACTTTAGCCTGAGAATCAGATTTTCAACAGGACTAGCACCTTGCACATCCATAAAAGCAGGCTGCACAGTGATAATGAACTGTGCACAGGGGCCAAAGCACAAGATGAAGAGAAGGCTGAAGGGCAGCAGCCTGTTCAGCTTTAATCACAGGCACTGATCGCTGAGTTTGTATCCCACTGCTGTCACACACAACCTTTGAAAAAAATTATCTGCATTTCCTTGTACCTTCAAACCAAAACATTCATCTAAAATGATATTGTGGATTTCAGCTTTATTTTAATTGAAAAGAAAATAAACCGGTGCAAACATGGGAAATCTAATGGCAAATACTGTTTGTTGTGTTCTGTAAAGACTCTGGCCTTCATAGTTCCTTTATAAAGTTTTCCTCAGATGCACAATCCATCAGCAGAAATCCTAACTTCAGTGGTTTCTCTTTATTATTTTATTGATCCACTGTTTGATTGCAAACAAGACAGCATTTGCAGATGTCCAGGCTACAGTTCTTAAAAAGCAGAAATAGCTCCAGGCAGATAAAAGTTCTCTCAGCCCTTATCTAAATATGAATAATTTTTCCCTCTCCAAAGGCAGTGCCCTAATGCAAAGCAATCATAGAAACAGCACATGTTCCAATCAGTTCTCATCAAATATTAGAAGTCTCCATATCCCGCTCCTAAGCAAGATACTCCAGCTTTAAATATGACTCTAATTTTGCCTCCATATTCCCATTTGCCAAAAATAAAATAATGACAGCTGCCTGGAAATGATGAGATATTTGTAAACACACTGCAAAAAACCCAACATGCACTTCCAGAATGTGGCTATAGAAACCTTCTTATTTGAAAACAACTGGAAATGTTGTTAAAAATTGGGTAAGATTTGTTTTCAAAAGAAGGGCTTTACTGCTGTTTCCAAAGAAATGAACTAACACTGACGAACAATTTCAATGTATAGGATCATGACTTTTTAAAAAGGTGTCTTAATGGCTGTATTGCAAATGGAAATCATAACAGAGCTGTAAGAGCTGTAACAAAGCAGAGTATTAAGGTCCACTGCCAGACACAAAGACATTGACAGATCTATAGAAAGACTCTTATTAAGCATTTCAAACAATGCCTTTAAAATGTAACAGATATTATTTGTAATTATTAAATAGAGCTACAGGGGTTTATTTTAGGCCAGCTGAGCTAACCCCAGACTGTCAGAGATCAGACAGCTACAGAAGCTGAGCTGGGCAGCATCACTGACCTTCTGTCCCTGGTACAGTGAAAGCCAAGGGAGAGAGAAACTCGAGGCAGGAAGAGAAGTAAAGACATCATGCCTGGTCACTGACACTGACCACGCTGGTGAGGGGAGATGCAAAAAGGACTTTATAGCAAAAGAGATAACAAAGGACATTACTGGCACAAGAAGAATAATCAGAAGATTGCGTTTCTAAAGGGGACCAGTGTCACAGACATCTTTTATGAAAAATCCTTTCCTTAGGATTTTTTCTTCTGAGAAACTGAGAGGCCTCAGGAACAAAATGATTATCTGCTGCTGTGGAATGCAACAGGTGGATCTTTAATTAGCCTATGTTTGTTCTTTCTAATTAATGGCCAATCACAGTCGGCTAGCTCGGACAGAGTCCGAGCCACAAGCTTTTGTTATTCTTTCTTTTTCTATTCTTAGCTAGCCTTCTGATGAAATCCTTTCTTCTATTCTTTTAGTATAGTTTTAATATAATATATATCATAAAATAATAAATCAAGCCTTCTGAAACATGGAGTCAGATCCTCATCTCTTCCCTCATCCTCAGACCCTGTGAACACTGTCAGAGACCAGGACAAAGGGGGTCAAAATGGAAAATTTTACAAACATAGTGACCTGTAAATTGTGGTAAACTGTGTAATAAATGGCTTTGCTTTGCTGGCATGAGTGGAGTCCATGTCAGTCAATCCCTGCACCAGACATACATGATGCCAATGGGAACTGTGCCATATCTTCCTTACTGAGGTCTTAGGTAAGTATGAGTTTGTAAATCACTGGAGAAAAGGGAGGCAGGGTTTCTCTCCTCCTCAGACTCACCACTGAAGTTGTAGGACCTTTCCATCACCTTCTTCCCTGCCCCTCTGAAAGGCTGAAATAATCAGAGTGCAAATCGGGACACCGTTTTTCTCCCAACAGACAACCCAGCAAAATTCTGTGCTTTGTTCTTCATTTCATTTGAATGGGTTTGTGAGCAGGTGGATATAGGATTTTGTGATCATAGAAATGGTGGCAGCACTGAATTACTAAAAAAAGGAAAAGCTGGTGACACCATGTAAAGGTAGAAGCACATTCATGAAATCCTACAGCAACTGCCAAGGAAGAGGGAAAATTTCTCTTCTCCCAGGTGAGGAGACACACTCTGGGCTGTGTCTTCCAGTTGCTTCCTATAAAAACTTCTGGTTACAGGGCTGAACTCAACTGAGAGTTTCATTTTAACTAAACTCTGGACATGTTTTTTCTTCAAATTTTTCAGACTATCATTAGCCATAAGCACCTATTAATTTTGAAGTTTACATTCTTTTAAGTTTTAAAGCCATGGTAGATCCCTATGTTACTAATCCAGGGGTAATAAGGATATTATTTCCTCTGTAAAAATTATAACAGACTGAAAAAAAGCTACTGATGGTTCATAATTATTGTAACATAACCAACAAATTTATCCACTGTTTGGAAATTGATAAAGACAATGTTTCACATTCAGTCACATTTGCATGCAAGATTTAGTGATTATAAGCCTTGATCAATAAATTTGTATTACAAATTACTGTCCTTTAAATGAAGCACCAGATTCATGCTTCTTCCAGTGAAATAATAATCCCCAATGTTACTCCTTTAATAACTACACAGCCTCATTCACTTGAAATCAATCAGTTTTTAGTATAAAGACATAACACTGCCCTGGGGGCAGGCAGAGTGCCTGGAACTGTCCTGATGGACGGATCTCGGCAGGACAGGAGAAAATTTTGTATAGATAAGAATCAATAAACAACCTTGAGACCGAGAAATGAAGAGCTCTGACTCCTCCTTCAAGCACCAGGCTGGGAAAAGAGACTTTGGAACTTTTCTTGGGGTCACTCTGACAAGCTAGAGATCCCGACAAAGGGGCACCAGGGGAGGTTTAGATTGGATGTCAGGAAAGAAATGTTTCCACCAGAAGTGTGGGTCAGGCACCGGCACAGGGTGCTCAGGGCAGCAGTGGCATCACCATCCCTGGAGGGATTCAGAAGCCATGTAAATGTGGCACTCAGGGACATGGGTTAGTGGTGGCTTGGAACTGCTGGGTTATTGCTG